GATCTGACACCCTCTTCTAACCTCCAAGGGCAGTGTATGACATGGGTGCACTTATACACATGCAGGCAATACGCTCATACACATAAAAATTAAAATTAAAAAAAAACCACCCAAGACCTCATCTGGGTAGGGTGTCACATAGCACACCTCTAATCTCAGCACTTGGGAGGCAGAAGCAGGCAGAAATAGAGGCCAGCCTGGTAACTGGACAGATAGATGATGGCTCAGCAGTTAAGAGTGGCTGCTCTTGCAGAGGACCCGGATTTGGCCACATAGAGACGCACTGTTCCTAACGCCAACTCCAGGCCTCTTCTGGCCTCTGTGGGCATTGAGCTCATGGCACTATCAGGAGGCACACATGCATACACAAAATAAAGAACTCTTAAAAAAATTTTCAGCTGGACAGATAAATTCCAGTGTTCCTAGTCACAGACACATTTAAGCAGCCCTCATTTCCACTTCTCAGAAGTTTCCTTGACAAAGATGGCATAAACTCACAAAACTCACAATGTAGAGAAGAAGGAAAAGCAGAAATGATCATTTCTAGAACGACTATTTCACAAGTCCTCTGTCAAGTCCAGGAATGCGTAAAATTTAACACACACACACACACACACACACACACACACACTTCTGTAAATTAAGTGTTTCATAAGGGTGTTACTTGCTCAGGACTTTCTGTTTAAATTGGGTTAAGCTTACCTAACTCATTTTACTAAAGTTTAGGTAACTTTGATGTCTAAACTATATATCCACATCTAATTTTTCTACATCAAACAATCACACATATTAATTCAGAGAATAAAGTGAAAAATAAAATTGAACAAAATTTGGTTTAGTAATAAATTTTGAGACAATGGGTTTTTAAAAAAACTTTTACTGGGCCGGGCATGGTGGCGCATGCCTTTAATCCCAGCACTTGGGAGGCAGAGGCAGGCAGATCTCTGTGAGTTCAAGGCCAGCCTGGTCTACATAGTGAGTTCCAGGACAGCTGGGGCTACAGGGAGACCCTGTCTCAAAAAGACCAAAACAAAAACAACAACAACAACAAACTTTTACTAAAGCAGAAACCATTAAAGTCTGCTTATCAATCAACAGCTTCCATAGGTATTGTCGATCAACAGTATTCATAGAAAATACACTGAATTTTATAACATAACATTTAGTTCTAAGTACTTTTTCCTGTTTTAATGTTTTTAAATTTTATTTAATTATTTGGGGGGGCATGTGTGCTGTATCATGCATGTGGGGGGGGGGGTCAGAGGACAACTTGCAGGAGTCAGTTCTCTCTTTTTACCATGTGGTTCCAGGGATCCAACCAGGGTCCCCCATAAGTGTCCTTACTTAATGAGCCATCTTGCAGCCCTTTTTTTCATTGTTTTTTGAGACAAAGTTCTGACATGTAGGCCAGGCTGTGCTTAAACTCACAATCCTCTTGTCTCTGAGTGCTAGGATTATAGATATGTAACACCAAGGCTGGCTTTCCCATATTTTTAAGTTTTATTTAAAAGGCATGTTTCTAAGTATTAAAATGGAAGTATCTGCTGGTACATACCACAATCCCACTCAGAACTAGGAAGGCAACCAAGTTTGAAGCCAACCAGCCCAGTCTAAAAAATGAGTTCCAAGCCAGTCAAGGATAGATACACACACACACACACACACACACACACACACACACACAATTAAAAAGGAAGTATCTGTTGGCTGTCCAAGTTCATTCACTTATAAAATTAATATGCAGCTTAAAAATGTCAAGATACTAATGTAAAATCATGTATTTTCAGTTTCAAGAAATAATTAAGCTCCTATCTTAATAAAAAGTACCTCAAGTCAAAAACAACAAAACAGTCAAAGACTACAGACAGAGAAAAAGCCACAAAAAGAACAGAAAAAAAGCTGAAGAGAAATGTGAGTTACCAGAAGGAAGATGGCTGCGGACACTGCCTGTCATCTAATTTAATTTGCCACAATTCCAAACCAGTAAAAAACAGCGTACCTTTTGTCCACAGATTCTAAATTTCACCCAATTACCTGTCAAGTAAAACGCTTCCTTTAACTTCCCATTTGAGCTTCTCAACAATTTATATTTGTAAGCTATAGTTTATGTAATTAAGCTCAAACTGAAAATGACTGATAGTTTAAAATCCATAACTATTTTAAAGTACTTATAATTAAGCACAAGACAAAAAACCATGAAAGGGGGTGAAGAGATGGCTCAGCATAGTTAGCAGCACTGGCTGCTCTTGCAGAGAACAGGGCTCCATTCTCAGCACCCATATAGTAGCTAACAACCCATCTGAAACGCCAGTTCCAGGGGAATCTGACGCCCTCCTCTGACCTCCTTGGATGCTGCATGACATGGTTGAACTTACATGCAGGCAGTATTATACTCATAAACATAAAATAAAAATAACAAGATTTTAAAAAATGAAAGAAACTCACACCTAGCTGAATGCAGCAATGACCAAGTCAGTGTTTCACAAGCTTCAACACAGCACCTCCACTGTGACCCAACAGTAAAGCAGCTGCTTTGAAAAAAAACTACTTAAAATTTTAAAGGCTGGATGTGCAGTTTAGCAGTGAAGTGTGCTAAGGAAGCACTAGGCCCTGAGCACCAAAAACAAATTAAATAAAGCTGTCAAAAAGAACACTGTATGGGGGGGGGGCGGACAAGGGTGTACTATAGGAAAAGCCAGCATCTCATTTAAAAAAACGAGCACTCAACCCTACTTTGCATACACCTCCAATCTACTACAGTTTCAATGCAAGTTTCAACCCTCACACAGTTTAGGTTTTTAGGTTTCTCTCCTCCCTAAATTTAGACATACTATACAAATCAATCTGGGTCAGCACTTTAACAAGCACTTTATGTGTGATGGCCCCAGCATTGCCAATTAAGCTCCTTAAGAGTTCACACTGAACAAGGTAGAGATCACATTTTGTGTAACTTTGTACCCTAAAGAACACTTTGGTCCCCATACTAAACCTATGAGGAGCTGTAAGTGCCCACTCAAAACAAAATGCAAAAGACCAAAATGTAACTGAAACTCACAGACTACTACTTTACTGCTTAGAGCCTTTTACCTTTGTCCTCTATTACTGTGGAATTTTTAGAAGCAGATTCTGACAAAAGTAGACGTAGGAAGTTGTCAAAATGTTATGTTTTTTTTTTTTCCTTCTTGTTCTTCTATAAGACTGATATTCTAAAGTCAGTTAATTTTACTAGAAACAAGACACAGTTTTGCAGTCAACCTAATTCCCAGGAAAACTGATGCCAGAAGAGTAAATAAATCATACAGAAAAGTTGCCCTAAATTCTGCCAAAGGACGTTTGGCAAACTAATAAAATTCTGCAGTCCACTGTACAGTTTTTAAAATATGTCTTTTTTAAGAAGTCAAAGCAGCTGGGCCTATGGAGTACCCTTTAATCCCAGCTCTAGGGAGGCAGAGGCAGGCAAATCTCTGTAAGGTCAAGACCAGTCTGGTCTCCAAAGTGAGTTCCAGGCCAGCAGGGGATACAAGGAACCCTGTCTCAAAAAAAAAAAACAAAAAAGGTCAGAGCAAACCATCCAATCCTTTCCAAAATCTCGATACCATGACCATATACAAAACTGCCTAGAAAGGTCTGCAAATGGTTCCAAAATGTCAAAGATTTTCTGGTTGCTAATATCCGTCATTATGCACCGGAAATTGTATCACTTAGATGTGAAATTCCTTTAACAAAAAACTGGGCCACATAGTCAGGTGCCGGCAACCACAAACTATAACACCCGCTCCCCAACCCTCCTCTGCTTTTGGGTTAACTACCAACGAACCGAGATGTGCGGTAAGCGACTTGCTTAAATTAATTTCAAAACAATGCTTTAAGAAGAAATCAAGTGTGGTATGGGAAAATGGGGGGGGGTGTCAAATGTAAAAGCAATTTTGAGAGCACGAGAGATGGTTCAGCGGGTAAAAGCACTGGCCGCCAAGCTTGAGACCTGAGTTGGACCTCGGAAACCCACGGTAGAGAGACCAGACTGCCGAAAATTGTTTTCAGTCCTCCATCCCCTTCATATTAATACTTTTCTAATGTCGGAAAGGAAAATCAATCTTGAAAGTTTCTATCGCCAATGTGTGCGTTGGAAATCTTCCAGATGTTCAAGACACGGAAGAACAGCGGAACCTAGAGCGGTCGGCGTAGATGGAGGCGTGCGCGCAGCGCGGAAAGGATGAATGAATGGGAGCCGGGCGCGTGTGAAACGCGGCAGGTCGGGACGGCCAGCAGACCCGCAGCCCAGCTAGGCCTCGCTCCTCCCCCTTCCCTCCTCCACGACAGCCCAGTCCCCAGCGTGCAGGGGCGAGGACAATGTGATCCCCTTCCCACCGTCGCCACCCCTCACCCGGCTTGGGCAGCTTCGCGCCGCGACCCCGCGGTGTCCTTCCTCCCCACTCGCCGCGTCCCCGCCTCCCCGGCCGCCGAGTTGGAGCCCCGCAACTCCAGGGCGCGGGGGCGACGCGCTCGCCCCTCGGGCTACCCTCGGTGGCCGCCGCGCCCCTCCGGCCGGGCCTCCGCCCT